TCATGATGATGATAAAGAGGCTCCGACGTTTGCTTGCTGACGACATGGCTCCCATGGGGCTCCTTGAGGTCCTGGGTGTCTGGGCGAGATATATGAGACGGGATGCACCAGGCCAATGAGCAGGAAGCGTTATCATCAAACATACGAAAGGCCTCGTCCGCCGCCCCGTTGAGCTCACTCGGGATCCAGCGGACGATGAGACGGATGTTGCGAGCTAGGAGGTACGCATTGATGCGTCTGATGACTGCCAACATCGAGAACTCTTTTGATCGAGACCGACAGATCGACAGCACGACTCCCATGTTGTCGCAAAGATGCACGTGCCTGATGTCGTGGCCCCACCTCGACTGGGCGAGGCGGCGCACCGAGGCCAGGACTGCGCGGGCTTCCAAAATGGCGATGCCCTCAGCCCTATCCCAGGTCCCGCTGCGGCAGACGACCCAGCGCCCCTGGTCCAGCCATCCGGCCGGCACTTCCTCGAAACTCTCGTCGATGGCCCAGGCGCCGTCCGATGCCTCCTCGGGCGCCGAGGGGCGCCAAGGACCGGAGCCGCCGCCATCGACGATGCCCGCATGCCGCATAGCCCGCTGCCGCGGCGCCAGCTCCAGGTCGAGGCGGAAGCGGCTCCACTCGGCCACGCGCCCGACCCGAGCGACCTCCCTGACGTCCACCATAGTGGAGGCAACGCCGAAGCCGCTCTCGGACGCGCCCGACGCCGTGACACAGCGGTTCCAGGGCAGCGCCCAGTCGCTGCTGAGGAAGACGAGGAGGCCCCGGAAGCAGCTGAGCTCTTCGCGGACGGACGCCCACATCACCTGCCGCTCCCAGTAACTGGCCTGCACGAAGGCGTAGCAGGCAGAGAAGACGCAGAGCACCTTTCGCCTCACCAGGCCCGCGTACGCGCAGTGGCCCAGGAGGCACTCCAAATCCTGGCCCGAGAGCCTGCCCCGCTGCAACGCGTAGGCCAGAGCCCTCTCCAGGCGGCAGCGCCGCTTGCTGGCGATGGAGGTACAGAGGCGCTCGCAGTCCACGACGACGCTGAGAGCCGACCCCTTCCTCTCGAAGAACTCCACTTCATGGATGTCGAGCTTCATCTTGTTGAAGGCCGCCTCCTTCTCGTCCAGCGCCCTCTTGACTGCGCTCGCGCCCTGCCCCAGCACGCCCAGGTTGTCCACATACACGTAGTGCCAGAGGTCCTGCTCGCGAGCCCCGCCCACTCTGAACACCATGGGCTCGCCGCGGTCGGTCGCGAGCCGAGCCTCCCGCAGCAGGTCGCACTGCCTCGCCAGGTTCGCGCTGGCGTTCTGGCAGAAGTACAACGACCACGAACATCCCATAGGCAGGGCTCGGCAGCAGGGGTACACCACATCATCGCCGCTTCCCACGCGGCCCTCCACCGTCTCCACTGAGTCTAGGCGGAGCTCGCTAACAGTCAGGGCGGGGAAAGCGAAAAGGGGGCTCATCCAGGGCGGCATCACCATCCTGTGAAAGCAGTTCTCCACGTCGCCGACGCCGAGGCACAGGCGGAGCGCCCGCAGGATGCCCCAGCTCGAGCCCTTCAGCAGGCACGGGTCGCCGCCCACGGCGACCTCGAGGCGCGAGAGGCCCTCCGCCGCCAGCAGGTCCACTCGAGGTGGAGGTAGTAGCCGTTGGTTGGTAGGGCGGCGTGCATCTGTACTCATCCGCATCTTCTGTCTTCCATTCTTCCAGACGAAAAAGGCTCCGACAAATTCAACAGGCTCCGACGTATATCGTAGCATGCCACGGGAATGCAGCCTCTTCATGAATCGAACCAATAGCCGCCTACTCTTTGTGAACGCTGGGTCCAAGTGAGGCCGCGCTGGATCGCTCCGTCGGAGGCGTTCAAAGTCTGGGACACTTCGTAGCATCCGCTCTCCACAACCCTCCAGAAAACGTAGGCCCTCTGCGTCGAGAAGCCGCTCCAAGCGCGGGGCGTCCTGGGTGCTCTCCGGCAGTGACACGAGCCCGAGCTGGAAGGGAGCCATGTTCGGCCGGCCCGGCCCCTCGTAGGACCCGCGACCTCGGAGCAGCTCTAGGTAGGCCGCTCTCGGCGAAGGCGCGTCAGGCACCGGCTCCTGGGCTCGTACCAGTCCATCGACGCGCGCAGTCACTTCGCTGTCGATGTCCGCGTCGCCGCCACTGCCGGCTGCAGGCGAGCCGGCCGCCTTCACCAACCAGTTCAGGGCGTCGATCGCCCTGTTGACCAGTCGTATGTGCAGGTAGCGGCCTCGCATCCCGCGGCTAAGACGACCGCCTCCACGCGCTGCATGTGGCTCCTCCAGCCGCGGCAAAAGGAACAGATGGCGTTCTCCGCGAGAGGCTGGAAGGCGCCCAGCACCGGGCCAAGTCAGCTGCGTGCCGAGAGGGGGCCCACTCCCCTCGGCGATCTCCTCGCTCATGATTTCTCGGCGGCCGCGGGGCTCCCGGCCTTGGGCAATGCGCCCCTGCCACGCCCGCGACCGCCGTCACCACGTCCTCGTCCTCGGCCCCTCGGCCCCTCGCCGGCAGTGCCCTCGAGCGCGTCGTCACCGCCGGCTCCACCGCCACCTCCAGGGAGGCCGCGAACCCGCTGGGCCCCCGTCTCCACGTCGATCTCCTCCTTCGCCCGCCTCGCGCCGTACTGCCGCAGCTCGGGCGCGATGGCATCCACCGCCGCGGTCACTCCACTGTGGAAGCGAGCCATCTGCCCGTTCGGGGCTCGCCCCGGGATCCTGTACGCATCTAGGATGGTCTTGAACCGTCGCGCCAGCACCTCGAAACTGGCGAGCGCGGGGGCATTCAGCTGATCAAAAGTGGAGGCGTAGAACATCATATCCACGAGACGGTTCAGCTCGTGCATCACCTGATCATCCACGTCCACCTGCTTTGCACGAGCCCACAGCTGCAGCCACAGACGCGGGTCACCACCCGTCCTCTCGATGTGCTTCATCACCTTCAAGTACGTCGACGGGCCCTCGAGGGGCCAATGCTGGTCAGGCACGTGGAAGCTCTCCTGCACTGCCTTGCGGCATGGCTTGTACCTCCCGCCCTGCTCAACGTAGTCGATCCACCGCGTGCGAGCGCTCTCCGCCACAGGAGGCGGCGTGGCTGTGCCACCGGCGGCGTCCGCACCGTCGGGCGCCTCGGCCGACGGCCCAGGCGGCGGTCCCAGAGGAGGAACCAGTGGAGCCGCCCCAGCTGGCCTCAGCTGGTCGGCTAGCTCCTCTCGGCGGGCTCGCACGAACTCGTCCACCTCCGTGGGGGGGACGAGCTCGGGCCGGCGGCTCTGCCCCCGGCGGAGGATCATCGCGTCGTAGTCCGAGAGCCTGAAGCCGTCTGGTCCCAGCACCAGCTCGTCGCCGAGGTTGCCAGCGCGGCCGCCCTCCATGAGCACCCACGCGTGGCCACGCGGCGTGTCCAGCGGCCCCGCATGGGGATACACTGGGCTGGCGTCGTCGCCGACAGCCGCCAGCGCAGGGGCCGCGCCCGCGTCGGAGCCGGCAGCCGCGTCGCCCGGGGGCCCGTCGTCGGCCCCACCCGCCGCCGCCGCTGAGCCGCGGCGCAAGGGGAGGCGGCGAGGCGGGAAGCGGCCGCCGAACAGGCTGTCCAGCGGCACCACCTCACGACTGGGCATCACCACGTCCGCGACCTCGATCGACGGGTCACCCGCCGCGGCGCCGTCCTGCAGGGCCGCGCGTCGGCCCTCGCGGATGTACCCCTTCAGGGCGTCCAGGTCGAGCGCCTGCTTGAACCTGCAGGCGGGTTTGTCGAGCCGGGGAAGACGCCCGTCTGGGCGCAGGCCGACGACCCGTACCACGCCGTCGACGCCCTCGCTGCCGTCTAGCATCTCCGAACACATGTCAAAGTCTGGCGTCAGGATGACCCATCTGGCGTGGTAAACGTCGTCCTCATCGTACCAGATCAGCACCTCCTCCCAGCCGAGCTCCGTCGGCGGGCAGGCCGCAGGCTCCGGGCACACGCACGCCGGCGCCCCTGGGCACACGCAGGGCGGTGCCTCCGCGCACGTCTCTGGGCAGCTCGGCGGCTCCGGGGGAACGGGGCAGGGCTGCCTCCGCGCGCTCAGCGCGAGAAGCCCCGCGGCTATCGGGCCACTGAGGATCTGCGGGAGGTACCCGGGCCGCATGCAGCTCGAGGCCGCAGGTCGAAGAGAAACCACTCAGCCAAAACGGAGCAGCTACAGAGAAGCTGTTCGGCACCGCAGTGCAATTTCCCAAACAGTGCAAGCACGACGGAGCAAGGACCCCCACGGGGCGAAGCGCGATTATCCACGCGCCCACGCACCGGGAGGGTTGGGGTCCACGACAGGGCCCGCTATTTTACATCATTCATGCGCACGCACCCCCAGTATCCAGCGGGGTACGTTCCCTAATTGATATGTCTTCTAATGATCTCGCGTTTACGCCTGTCTGCGCTTTTGCAAGCCATTGGCGGCCCGCGAGGCTCACCCAGGCTGGCCCATGACAACTCAAGGCCCTCAAGAGGGAATATCCAGCGGGGTATGTTCCGAAACCCCACTTTGTGACAACCTCCCCTCTGCGAACCCCCGACCCAAGACGAAGCAAGGACGAGGATAAGATCAGGTGAGGACAAGTCGAGAATCTCTGAGATCCCGCGGCTCTGGAGGATGTGTCGGGCGCCGCGGCCGTCTTAAAGCGTTTCAGAACGCTCTGCGGGAGCGTTCCGGAACGCTCTGTAACAGAGTGATGCTCGTCCTAGCCCCGTCCGAGCATGCTAGGAGGGGATGCATTTGTGCCCAGACCTCCGACGACTCGATATTTCGAGTCTCGTGGCCCCAGACCTTTCGACCCTTCCCCTGAGACCGGCTTTCCATCCTGGATCGTGTCTGAGAAAACCCGAAGCCCGAAACGGGCCTCCAAAAGCCGAAAACGTCGAAGACCCGACTCGACAGTGCCCTGTCCGACGGCCCCCTCTCCCTCCGCGGGCTGTGCGGGCGCGGGTCTCGCGGGCCCGCGGCCCGCCTGCAGCAGCCGGATGGCATCCTGGCGGTTGTCCTGCGGCCTGCAGATCGCCTCCTCCACGCGGCGCCAGTTGCTCCGGAGCGCGGCCGCCGTCATGGGCGTGACCTCCGGGTCCCAAGGAATAGACAGCCGCGCCGCTTGTTCTCGACGCGCCCAAGAGGACGACGCCAGCACTGCGGTAAACCCACGGCAAGGCCTGCGCCCGAGGCAGCGTTTGCCCTGGTGGCCGAGGCGCTCTCCCCAAGACGTAAGGCCGCGCGTCGGAACAAACGGCACGGCGACATATGCAGCCGAAGATCTGATCAAGAGAGTGATAATCTGAGAGATCTGGGCCAGCTTCCTGGAGGTTGATGTTAGAATTATCCCAGTGCAACCCTACCTAGGAGTTGGAACCCCTAGGAAAGCAGCATTAGTACTAACAGTAACGCTAAGCTAAAGCTAAGCTAAAGCTAACCTAATGCTAAGCTAAAGCTAAGCCACAGCTAAGTTAAAGCTAAGCTAAAGCTAAGCTAAGCTAAGCTAAAGCTAAGCTAAAGCTAAGCTAAAGCTGAGCAACAGCTAAGCTAAAGCTAAGCTAAAGCTAAGCTCAAGCTAAGCTCAAGCTACGCTCAAGCTATGCTCAAGCTAAGCTCAAGCTAAGCTAAAGCTAAGCTAAAGCTAAGCTAAACGCTAAGCGAAAAGCTAAGCGAAACGCTAAGCTAAAGCTAAGCTACAGCTAAGCTAAAGCTAAGCTAAAGCTAAGCTAAAGCTAAAGCTAAAGCTAAAGATCCCAGGGGACTGGGGGGAACCGCGGGGCGGGGACTGGGGGAACCGCCCGGGGCGCTTTGCACTGCCCGGCCCATTTAAGCTAGAGAGTAAGAACCCTTCTAGGCAGAGCCTAGGTAGGGAAAAAGACCTGGGCCAACTTATTTTGGTAACTCTGGAGGGGCGAGCGTGCTCAAGAAGCTGGGCCACCTTTCCAGCAAGTTGGGCAAGAATCGCTGGCCCAGCTTTTCGGGAGGAGACTTCTGAATCAGATGCTCGAGTATACACCACCGACACCTCCATTACCCCTTCCTCCTCACCCTCGTCTGCCTCTCCAATTTCCTGCAAGAGGGGGGGTGAGGGGTGAAGGGCTGTATGTATATATATATATATATACTAGAACCATCGCGCGCGCTTCGCGCGCGCTCAGGTTCTAGCCCAGGCCGGGGGGGCGCTGGACGATCTTGGACACCGCTATCAAGCACAGGCGCGCGATGGCATCTGAGGAGCTTCTGGGGTGTCCCGCATGCTTCGTCAACTGGCTGTTGGAGGCACCTCTTAGGTGCTTCTTGGGGGGGCGTCTGGGGGTCCCTTGGGGGCATCGGTTCTGCAATCTGAAGCCGTCATTGGACGCCTTGGCTGCGTGGAGGCCCGACTTGAGGCCACCTGCGGCCAGATTGAGGCAATCCGGAAGCCTCCCGGGGGCCTCCTGGAAGCAGTTTTGACGCATCGAGGGCAGTCTTGGGCTATTTTAAAGCCTCTTGGACGTCTCCTAGGGGCCTTTTAGGCCCTCTGGAAGCTTTTGGGGTCCTAGTCGGACCACTTGGGGGCCTCTTGCACCCTACTGTGGGCCTTGTGGGGGCCCCGCTCTGCTGTTGGGTCGCGTTCCCCTTCTTGGGCCTCTCTTGGGGCTCTTGGGGCCCTCTCGGGCCGTCTTGGGCGCCTCAAGCACCGTCTTGGGGCCCTCGCGGGCCGTCTTGGGGCCCTCTTGGAGGCCTCTTCCTCTATATGGGAGCGGTATTGGAAGCCTCTTGGGCCGTCTTGGAGCATCGGGATGCCAAAAGGCAGAAAAAATTAAAACCCGTCAAAGCCCAATCGTAAAACAATGAGTTGTGCCTCTCGGGGCCACCTTGGGAGATCTCTTGGAACCTCGTCGGCCCTCTTGGGAGCTTCTTGGGAGCCTCTTGGATCCGATTGGGGGCCTCTTGGGACTTCCCGAGAACCTCTCGGGGTAGAAAGCTCGGATTCTCGGTTCGTGTTTCCCTTCTTGGGCCTCTCTTGGGGCCGTCTTGGGGCCCTCTCGGGCCGTCTTGGGCGCCTCAGGCACCGCCTTGGGGCCCTCGTGGGCCGCCCAGGGCCCTCTTGGAAGCCTCTTCGGCTATCTTGGAGCTGTCTGGGAGGCCTCTTCCTTCTCCTCGTCCCCCTCCTCCTCCTCCCACTCCAGCTCTCTCTCTCCTCCTGATCTCCTCCTCCTCCTGCAGCGTGTTCCGGAAGGCTCCCGCCGGAACATGCTGTGCACAAGTGCTGTCACTGCTCCCGCCACCGTGCCCTGGGTGGTGGGTCAGAGGCCTCATGGGTGTTGGTTTGGATCTCGTGGTTGGCCTGTCGGGGACGTCGTGAAGGCAGTTTCGCAGCTTCTCGGTAGCCGTTTTGGGACCGTTGTGGGGCCTCCTCGGGGCTGTTTTGTAATCTCTTTAGGCTTTGTTTGGGCCTCCTGGGTGCCTTTTGGGGGCCTCCTGGGGCCTTTGGGGAGCTCCTTGGGGCCTCCTGGGGCACTCTTCAAGCGGGAGGGTCGAATTTTGGAGTCGTGGTCCCCCTCTTGGGCGCATCTTGGGGCCGTCTTGGGGCTCTGTTGGGCTGTCTTGGGCGACTCTGGGGCCGTCTTGGGGCCCTCTTGGGCCGTCTTGGGGCGCTCTTGGGGGCCTATTGAGCCGTCTTGGAACGTCGGACAGCCGAAAAGGCTGGAAGGCCAAAATCGTTCGAAAACCTTCGTAAAATTGACGATTTCGGCCTCTTGAAGCGCTCTGGAGAGGCGTCTTGAAGCGTCGTGGAATGCCTTGGGGGGCCTCTCGGGCCGTCTTGGGTCTATCTTGGGCGTCCTAGAGCTGGTTTTCGGCGACTCGGGGCCCGCTTGGGCCGTCTTGGGAGCCTCTGGAGGCCCTCCTGGACTATTTTGGACCTCCCCGGCCGCCCCGTCCTCCCATGAGGGGTCGGAGGCGGCGGCCTCCGAGGCCCAGGACGCGGAAACCATTTAGAAACACAGGGAAAATGAGCCCCGGTACCCCCATGGAGGCTCTTCGGCGCTCTTGGACCGGTGCAAGCTCGAAAACGCGAGAAGCCAAAAACATTGAAAATACCATTGAACATATACGACGTTGGCCTCTTCGGGCCGTACCGTGATACCTATCAGACTTCTTGAGGTCTCTTGGAGGCCACCTGGGAGCCTCGAGAGCCGTCGGAAGGCTGACTTGGGCTGCTCATGAGCGTCTTGGGCCATCCTTTCACATTCTGGGGGCTCCTGGGGGGAGTCTTGGGCCCTCCTGGAGCGCTGTAGAGGCTGCCCAGAAAGGATGGGGCAGCGGTGCCGGGAGCGTCCCCGAGATGTGGCCATATCTTTTCAGCGCGTTCCGGGAGCATCTCCCCGGAACGCGCTCATGGCAGGGCGCCCACGTCCGAGGACGTTGGCATGGGAAACCGCAGCGCGTGATCATTCCAGCGCGTTCCGGCGAAGACCGTCCGGAACGCGCTTGGGCAAGCGCTGGGTTTGGGGAAGCCGAGCGGGAACCGTTCAGGCAGTTTGGGATGCTCGGAGCGAGAGGCGGAAGCCATCCTCATAAGACATGCAGTCTTCCTGGAGCCGTCTTGCAGAAAACACACGAAAAATAAGACCCTGCAGTCGTTCCTGGAGCCGTCTTGGAGCCCTCTTGGGCTGCCCTGGAGCCTGTTGGAGCCCTCTTCGGAATGGTCTTGGAGCCCGCGCCGAGGATCTGGAAAATGTCCGGGACCATCGCGGCGGCCTCCGAGGCCCGGGACGCCGAAACCCTGTAAAAACACAGCGAAAATGAGCCCCGGTACTCCCATGGAGGGTCGGGCAGCTGTTTTCGGGCCCCTGGGCTAGAACCATCGCGCGCGCTTCGCGCACGCTCAGGTTCTAGCCCAGGCCGGGGGGGCGCTGGACGATCTTGGACACCGCTATCAAACAAACACAGGCGCGCGACGGCATCTGAGGAGCTTCTGGGGTGTTTCGCATGCTTCGTCAACTGGTTGTTGGAGGCACCTCTTGGGTGCTTCTTGGGGGGGCGTCTGGGGGTCCCTTGGGGACATCGGTTCCGCAATCTGAAGCCGTCATTGGCCGTCTTGGCTGCGTGGAGGCCCGACTTGAGGCCACCTGCGGCCAGATTGAGGCAATCCGGAAGCCTCTCGGGGGCGTCCTGGAAGCAGTTTTGACGCATCGAGGGCAGTCTTGGGCTATTTTAAAGCCTCTTGGACGTCTCCTAGGGGCCTTGTAGGCCCTCTGGAAGCTTTTGGGGTCCTTGTCGGACCATTTGGGGGCCTCTTGCGGCCTCCTGTGGGCCTTGGTGGGGGACCGCTCTGCTGTTGGGTCGCGTTCCCCTTCTTGGGCCTCTCTTGGGGCTCTTGGGGCCCTCTCGGGCCGTCTTGGGCGCCTCAAGCACCGTCTTGGGGCCCTCGCGGGCCGTCTTGGGGCCCTCTTGGAGACCTCTTCCTCTATATGGGCCGGTATTGGAAGCCTCTTGGGCCGTCTTGGAGCATCGGGATGCCAAAAGGCAGAAAAAATTAAAACCCGTCAAAGCCCAATCGTAAAACAATGAGTTGTGCCTCTCGGGGCCACCTTGGGAGATCTCTCTTGGAACCTCGTCGGCCCTTCTTGGGAGCTTCTTGGGAGCCTCTTGGATCCGATTGGGGGCCTCTTGGGACTTCCCGAGAACCTCTCGGGGTAGAAAGCTCGGATTCTCGGTTCGTGTTTCCCTTCTTGGGCCTCTCTTGGGGCCGTCTTGGGGCCCTCTCGGGCCGTCTTGGGCGCCTCAGGCACCGCCTTGGGGCCCTCGTGGGCCGCCCAGGGCCCTCTTGGAAGCCTCTTCGGCTATCTTGGAGCTGTCTGGGAGGCCTCTTCCTCCTCCTCGTCCCCCTCCTCCTCCTCCCACTCCAGCTCTCTCTCCTCCTGATCTTCCTCCTCCTCCTGCAGCGTGTTCCGGAAGGCTCCCGCCGGAACATGCTGTGCACAAGTGCTGTCACTGCTCCCGCCACCGTGCCCTGGGTGGTGGGTCAGAGGCCTCATGGGTGTTGGTTTGGATCTCGTGGTTGGCCTGTCGGGAAGGTCGTGAAGGCAGTTTCGCAGCTTC